GTGGCTTCTTTTTCCTAGTGAGAGGAGAATTCTACATTCTCTGTAGTTACCGTTTTTTCAGGACTATATACTGGTGTTTATACTGAAGCCTAACCATGCATTTAGTCCAGGTTAGTATGTTGATTTCTTTTAAAGAAACAGTTTGTGCTGTGTTTTGCTGTGATAGAAAGACTCAGATGAAAACAAGGGCGGGCAACACGTAGCCACACCCCACTTCTGCTTTGCACTGGTGGTGCTGGTCATAGTCCCTTGTTTCTCAGTTATTGTGAGGTGAGCTGTGCAATATGAGTGTTGTTTGCAGTCCAGTGATGATCCTAGACATGACTATGCAGATTCACAGAAGTGGATGTGTGCGTGTGCAAATTTGGTGCAAACAATGCCAAGAGCCAGTGAGCAATCTTGCCAGAGGTCCATTTTTTGTTTTTCTCAAATCATGGATAACCATGGGCTGATCAGAGTTAGAGGATAAACATAGTATTTCAGTGGGAAGCAGATGTCTAAGGGAGATGAAGAGGCGCATAAACTACTGTAGTAAGTGAATATGTTTTTCTGTTGAGATTAATGTATGATGACTTGCTTTTACTGCATTTCTTGTTGTTACATAATTTAATCCAAGGCTCCAGAATATCAGATTGCGCAAAAGAATGTTGTTAGTATTCCAGTTAGTACTTAACTCTGCTACCTGACTGATGCAACAAAATAATTAATGACTTGTGAGTATATTGTTTAACTGTAAACATCTGGCTTATGATCATTTGAACTTTCTTTCCAGAACTTTCCATATATATAGTAATATATGTAAATATGATATATAACCATGTACAACCTAGAAGATTATATACAGTGCAGCCCTTCCATAAGTTGCCTGAGGAAACTTAGTGAGCCCTTGAAGACAGTCATCATGATTCTGATTCCTGCTATGTTTATGCCCTCCACTTCACTTGTTTCTGTGGTTCTGTCTAGCTCATGTGGTGAAGACTTTAACTCAGTGCACTGGAAATGATGAAGACCTGAATGTGCAAATGTATTTAGAGATGAAACAACTGTTTCTTTGAAAATCTTGCAGCCAGAAGTCTGTGAAGTTACTGGCATTTGAGTGCTTGAACAGGTCATGCTAAATAGGTGCTTAACATTAAGCAAGTGAATGCTTGCAGGATCAGAGTTTAGCAAAAAAATCTGTTTTTCTAATTAATTGTGTGTGTAAGATTTCTAAACTGGAAGGTCCATAGAATGTGCACACGTCTGAGAACAGTCTTGTAAATAATCCCATGTTACTCTGTAAACAGAAAGAGTTTCAAGAAAATGGAGCTCTAAGGGGAAATCTGGCTGTTCTCTAGACTGGTGCAGCGGTTTGATAGATTAGATTATGGGGATTTTTAACAGATTCAAAGGAACATTCCTTCAAAGGTTTACATTCCTTCTTCAGTGACAGACCTGAATTCTTTTTCTTTTATCCTTGCTGCTTCATACAGTCTAATTAACTCTTCAGTGTTTACATTAAGGATGAAACATCCCTTATATTTTTTATTTTTGACAAGTATCATGTGTTTGTGTTGAATCTTGTTTGAATTTGAGTCTCAGTTGGGATTTCCAAGTTTGCTAGCTTTCTTTGTTTTCTAAATGAAATGTACTTCTGAAGACAGCAATGTGGTTGAGATCTCTTGTATATATTTCACGCAGTACCTAGACTATGAAGTTGTACTATTGTTCTGTAAAGAGGGTGAATAGAAATTATTGTAAAGCGTTGGGAAAAGCATAGTATTGTATTTGTAACAATATTGTTCTTTGTAAACATTTAATGATCTCTCTATATAAATATAAATATATATATAAATATATGTGAGCCTGGAATGTTGATACTGCACATCTACTGAATGTAATTTCTCTGATGTTTTCTGCCACAGGTCTCTGACCTCTGTAATGAAGCTGCGGTGGTTTGATTTGGGGAGGCAGGAGTGAAAAGAGTGGGCTTTTTGCTTTGGATGGGACAGGGTGGGGGGTTTCTGGCCAGTTATTTTGTTGTGATGTATTTACTGTGCTACATTCCTTTATTTAACAGAGCGCTAATGTCTGTAAGATTTGCAACAATAAATGACAAAACAAAAATACCTTAGACAAGGCTGAGAATTTGCTCATACTGACCTAGGGGCTGACTTGCCAATGCTGAATGCACACATGACTGGAAGGTGTCTAAACTTCTCTTTTGCCACTTAGTCTGGAGTAGTTCTGTATATGTTTCTGCAGGTGTGAACCACTGCTGTTAACTTTTAACTTTAAAACAGCATTCTTTCCAGGTAATACATGACACTAATGCTCCTGAATGAAGCCAATTCCTAAGCTAAAATGGCATCCCAGTTTTTACTGTGTGAAATGTCACTGTATTTGCATCTTAAAAAAATATGTTTTTTTCAAGATGCCTTTTATGTGACTGAAATACTGTTTCATTGACTGAATAACTTCAAATACACTTTCTTCAGATGTCATCGGCATGGTTTATTATTAAAGACCTAATACCATTTGAATAAATAAAAAGTAGAATTGTAATATGCCTGTCCTTAGATTTAATCCTGGAACGGCCTCTGCTAAGGTTAAAAATATTTGTATAATACGGGATTGATTATGAAAAACATGACGGTATTTGAAAATCAACTGAAAAAAGAAGCGTTTTGTCTGGTGAGGCCTCATAAGATTTTCTGTGACTTGTAGGTTTGTCATGAGTACTTTGAAACTGTAATGTAATGTAATGGCCAGTCTTCGCGAGCGAAGATTTGGGAAAGGTCATTACCCTTCCAGCCTGCGCAGTGGATTTTTAGGTGAGACACAGCGTGCACTGAACTGAGCCCACCCTTTAGTCCTGAGGTTCATCTGCCGGGGCCGAGCAAAGCTTGGACAGTGGCAGTGAGGTCCCCAGGATGTAGGTTTGTTTAGAGTGACCTTCTCTTAGGTGGATTGCCTTCCACGGCTGACGAGCTCCACCTGCCCAGGGGGCCGGGAATCGAACCCGGGTCGCAGCGGTGAGAGTCAGACACTCTAACCACTAGACCACCAGTACAGAAATGAAAATACACACCACAGCTGATTCAGAAGATAACTACACATGGGCCTTCAGCCACTCACTGACTTTTCATAATATGAAATACAAATGTTGTCAACATCAGATACTGAAGAATTTCACCTCATTTGCTTAAGTGATAGATTGGAGAAATTGTGAAGTCTCTGGTAAAGGATGCAGCAGACAGGCTGAGCTTGCTTTCTGTGTTTCCCTGAGTGCCACCCTCCATCCTTCTGTTTATTACCATTCTTGTTAGAGGTTTACATACCGATTTCTGAATTACAAACTTTTCTGCATTTCAGTAGATAAACATAAGTCTTTACTTCAGCAGTACAGGTACAAATTTCACAGATTTGCCTTATTCACAGGGGACATTTGTCTTGCTCTCCCCTTCAGTGTTTTACTGATCCACACAGCGCACAAGCGGGCCCTATCACAGTTCCAGCACCCTGTAATGCCTTGCAGGCTGAAGAGGTGATGCTGGTGCACTGTAAGGACTGACAGTGTTTGAGAACAGGGCTGGGACTGCAATTTAAATAAATGTTCAGTTCAGAAGCATATGGCAGCAATCCTGACCTGAAGAACACAGTACATGGAAGAGTCGGTGATCCATGTGTCCGTTAACCTGAGTAGGGCTAGGCCTGTGCTGTGCTGCTCTGTGCGGCTTCTACAGCTGGACCTTCAGGGATATTCCTTTGCCACAGGATAAATCTAGCTGGTTGATTGTAAGAAAGGAGCCTGAAAGCAGCTCCACTGGTACTCAAAATGGCAAATAACTCAGTAGTACATGTGTCCATACCTTTGTCTACAAGTGCAGCAGTAAAGTCCCATGTGAACATCCTTTTTATTTAACGTTTATATGACCGTCCTTCAGTTTGACAGTAGAAATGATGAATAGGATTGTTTTCTTCTAGAAAAACCTTGAAATACCTCAAATGATCAATATGGGGTAAAATGGATGGGGTCTTTACAACTTGTTGCTCCCTGTTTAATGCTGCACAATTTGGGATTCCCAGCATCTGAAGGGATATAAAATTATCTATGCTACCTTCTTTCTTCATAGTATCTGCTCTAATAAACAGCATCTTAAATGACACTATACAGAGAGCGCCTTTCTTACTGGGATGGTAACAAGCCAGCACCTTGTGTTGAAAAACACCTGTGGTTTTGGAGGTTTGGTTTTGGTTTTTGTTGTGTCAGCAAGACAAGAATAATATTCTGCCATTAAGTGAGAAGTTCACTGAGCCAAAAGAGCACTTCTTTATATCTTCAGTTTGCAAACCAATACCATCTTTTATAAAGAATAATTTTAAAATTCTGAACACAATTTTTTTTACTAACTTATGAAGTATCTTGAAGTCTACTTTTGTGACTGGAGTTTTTAATACAAACAAAAGTACTGATAATAAGCAAAGTTCTTTGATACTGCTTTTGACAACTCCTTCCACAAGAATGATGTATACCCCAAAACTGCATGTTACCAAACTTCAAAGAGATGCAACAGGACAGCAACGTATCACACTATGCAACTGAGAGCCTAGTAAAGGTCAGCTTGCAATCTGCTTAATACGCTTTGTCTGTGTATCAGAGTATTAAAAAAGTAAGTAAGATTATTGACACATTTTTCCACCCCTTGTCAGACATGATTTTCCTGTGCAGTATGTATATGTCTGACAGAAGTGCTCTGCTCAGGAATAACCAGAAACCAGTTTTAAACAGTACTTTAAGTACAGTTTCCCAGACAACACTAGTAAGACTGTGAGGCTATTCATATTCTGCTCCTTAGATCCTCCTCTCTGCTAGCTGATCTTCATCTGTGGTGAAAGTAGTCAGGTCCTCACAGCTCTCCAGGACACCAGCTGAAAGGTAACACATGGACTCTCAATGACATGGCCTCCTGGGCAGGTGCCATCACCTTTAAAAGGAAAAAAAAGGTAAATCAGTTTTCGTTCGTAAATCAGGTTCTTGTTCCATTATAATAGTTTCTTACCCAACTAGGAAGAAGCTAGTTGTAGTGCTGTCTGTTTAAAGAATAATTTAAAAAGCTGTAAAATCCCAGGTACTTGCCAAGGAGGCATGGCAAAAGCAATTCCAATTTGGAAAAGTAGTGGGGTAATTTTTCATGTTGTTGTTTGTGGGGTTTTTGTTTTGTTGGTTTGGTTTTGGTTTTCCCCCTTAGAGGTGCACAGAAATTACCTCACCCCAACCTATGACATGTCCTATATTGGTTAAAAGGAATCTGAATGTTGCTTCCTGCAGAAGCCATTGAACTGTAATAACCTTCAGGCTAGTGTGATAAATTATGTTCTCATAAGGAATTTTTTTTCCCTAGCTGTTTCTGTCAAATTTGTTGAGGCTTTTGTTGCCTGAAGGCTGCAGTCAGAAATCTCACTTTTTCTGCAGAGCCTAAATGACACTCTGATGTGTTTTGCATGAGAACCAAAATCAAAACTAGTCAGCAAATCACCAGTACCATGCATGAATCAATTCATCTATCCAAATGGTCTGTAAGCTACCCAAACATACATTTGATGAAGTCTGAAATGTCTGAAACTTCTGAATATTCATTCCAATAATGTAAGCACATGTTTTCTATTTTCTGCTTTTCTTTCTTTAGCACAAGATCTTATTTTTATCTTGGGAGCCAATCACAAAGAAGTTGCTTGTAGTGGGTTTACATAAAAATTTCCTTGTCAGCCTCCATTCCTTCCTGTTTGTAATAGCAAATGCTTATTTATAACATCTCCTCCCTCTCCCCTTGCACGCCCAGCATAAAACACTGTCACGTTATTCACAGTTCATGATTCCACCACAGAAGACTGACTTGTTCAGTTTTTGAATACACAGATGTTCAGTCTTCTGATAACCTTCCTCTCTGTGTGGTTGATAGAGACCTTGCAGCTGTGCAGCCTTTTGCATAGTCCCTACATGAAACTAAAGTACTGAAGGAAGCTAATTTAGTGCAAAAACTTTGACATGCAGAGTGGTGAACATAAGCATATACTTCCAAATGAAGGCTGCGGGTTTCCACAGCACCTGATAAATACAAGTAATAAAACTACCTACTCAAGCAAAGTGGCATTGGTGATAGCTTCTGCCATATGTTTCGCATCTGATTTTAAAACACACTTGGTATTTTCCACCAACTCATGTATGTCAGGGCTCATGCTGCAGGAGGACTGTTCTATGATCCATGCCACAAGCTATTTAATGTCTGTGTAAGACTTATAGTCTATCAGATATTGGGGTCTTCCTCTCAAATCTCTTGCTCTTAAACTCTTCTGCTAGATGACAGCATGGAGTTGTTTTACATTGCTGTGTGTTGCAGTTTCACATTTGAGCACTGTCCCTGAAGACAAAGATGAAGCAAAGAAAACACTCCACGTGGTTCATGGTATCCCCTGTGATTTCACTTCTGATTCAGCAGTGAGGATGCAGTGCACATTTTAACCACATAAAAGACTCGTTCTATTGAATTTACACTAGACAAAATGCCTGTAAAATAGAATCCTCCATAGCTATGATTGAGTGCCTATCACATCAAGGGCCCTTGAGAAAGCTATTTGCCCTTTTGTGTATATTGGTTCTTTTCTCTTTTGTTTCTGATCTGAAGAGACCTGAAATGCTCCTTGAGTGTTAATGTTAACATACAGTTATACAAAACAGGTTAAGTAAAGCTAGAAGCCTTTTATGATCTGTCTTCAACTCTTTGTAACTTTTAGTTATTACCAGTGAAAAGGACTAGTTACAAACTATCTGAAAATAACTGCTTGTCAAGCTGGTAGCTAGTAATACTACAAAGTGGAAATTCAATGGGAAGAAAGCACACTCAAACATTCAAAATTACAAGGACTAAAACAGGGTCAAGAAGGAATCAATTTCACTGCCTTCAGTCCAAATAAAAATCCACTGCCTTTTTTGTGAACAACAATAATCAGATTTTGACCCTATTAAAAAAATATATATAAATAAGAGTGCCTACAGGTTGTTCAAGGACTTTACCATTGGCTTTATACCAAACACAATGCCAGAAGGAGATGCAAAACTTCCTAGCAAGAAGGCACTAACTTGAAGCAATATCCATTGTTCCATTGCAGTGAGTTCCCTTTCTGCAGCACTCATGACTAACTTTCAGGTCTGAGTCCAAAGCTTCCAAATGCTTCTGACATGGAGTCTCTCTACAGCAGAAATGCTCTGCTCTCACAGCTATGAACAGGCTCTGTGTCATGTAACTATTTGTTCAGCAGCAGATTCTATGGGGTGCTGCGATTGAAGTTGATAGGAGGAAAAGGGAAAACAGGAGACAGTAGAGGCATGAAAACATTCCTCAAAACAGCAAGTGTAATCCAGATAGACATGCTCCCAATATACAAAATAAATGGCTCTTACTAAAACGTCCCATGTGCATTTACATTTTGAGTGCTAATATGTATCAGCAGCTACTATGGAGATTCCGATATCCTCTAGTAAAAATTGCAAGACTCTTGACTAGTGCATTTTTTAGGACTGTCAGCAGAATCAAGGATTCCGTAGTCACACTAGCAGTTTCCCCACAGCAACTGAATTGGATCACTGACATCAAAGTAGCTTCATCTGCTCTCTACCATGGCTTGTGTTGACTTTTGGGTTTTTTTGTTTTTTTGATGCTATAAGGATCAAGAAAAGGGGAGTAAATTTATAGGCTAGCACCAAAAGTGCAAGCTGATTGTGCTTTAAATTGCTCATATTGACAACTGCTCTTGCGAGATTTTAGATGTCAGTGCACTGGGAAATCCTGTGTGCCCCCCTCCCATCTTCCACCATCTCTCCTTCCTACCCAGACTAGCAATGCCTGGTACAAACCCAGTTTCTAGGTGTGAAAGCTGAAAGAGCAGTAAGGCTAAGTGATTGGGTGGAGGTTTAGCAAAGCACACACACACTGCTGTAAGGTAAGGTACTCTGTTCAGAGACACTAACTGATTTCTGCAGGTATGAGGTTCAAAGTACCAACCTTCTAAAAAATGTTCTTTTAAGGAACCATTACATAACCACAGATAATCAAGTCATCTTGGGGCGAGTGGCAGTGCAGAAGCACAAAGTCACTTTTAGATTGTTTCTGCAAGGAACTGAGGGCTCTCCTGTTCACTCTTTCAGGCCTGCAGCTCGCATTTGAAGGAGAAAGGCTTGCTCTGCTGGAAGACTCGCAGATTTCTTCAGCTGAGTATGAGTAATCAGGAACAGTAAAGGAAAAGTAGTCAGAATAAAGCAAATCTTTAGAAACCATTGATAGAGATTGTTGCCGATTCTTCCCCCCATGGACACAAAAGCCTAGAAGTGCACGTATGTGTGCACAGACCCACAGTTAGTCAACAGTATCAGTGGTCTAAAGCCTCTTTAAACATTTGCAGAAAACTGTTCAGTCTTGTGCAACTGGAGCAACAGAAGAGTACAGTGTTGCCTAGTACAAAAATCACCTTAAACTACCTGATCACAGAGAAGGGAGCTACAGTTTTCTTGGAGAGAAAGCTGAATCTCACAGAGCCCAAATTCATCCTGCAGATAAGCAGTTGTACCAAGTTATAACAGCGTATGGCTAGAGAGGTCAGTCACCTTTTGCAGTGAGGTAGCTTGTAAAAAACCAGTCCCCATAAAGGAATTAAAAATCTTGTTTCATGAGCTTCTTTATTAAAATAAAGATTTTCCTGGATTCTTGTGATACGTTTCATCCTTCCAACTAATCAACAATCCTCCTTTTCCTTAGGGTGAAATTATATGCTGCAACTCCCAAAACTGGCATTTAGTGAACAGGACAGGATGAAGCTATGTCTGTTTCTCACTAAGCCTGGTTCTGTACCTCTATCTGATGGCACCTGGCATATTACAGAAAACAATATTCTTGCTCATGCGAGAGTTAAAAAAAATGTGGTGGGTTGACCCTGGCTGGACGCCAGGTACCCACCAAAGCCACTCTATCCCTCCCCTCCACAACTGCACAGGGGAGAAAAAATATGATGAAAGGCTCATGACTTGAAATATGGACAAGGAGAGATCACTCATCAATTACCATCACAGGGAAAACAGACTCACCCTGGGGGAGTCGAATTTATTACCAATCAAAGTAAAAGCAGGATAATGAGAAGTAAAACAAAGCTTAAAAACACCTTCTACCCACCCCTCCTTCTTTCCCGGACTCTATCTCCTTCCCTCTAGTGGTGAAGGGAATGGGGATTATGACAGATTGATGAACCAACTTTATGATTTTATGATAATTCTTCATTGTATTAATGTTTCAGACATCAGAGCGATAATTGGCTTAAGGCGATGTGTACTGGAAATGCATATACCTAGTATGTGATGATACAGAGCAGCTACCAAGCACCTCCTCCCACGTGGAAGGTTGCATGCCTTCCTACTACAGTCAGCAGCGAAAGTCCCATTCTGCTTGACAGGAGTGCTTTTGAAGTTAGTAAAACCATTTTAGCTGGCATAGAGAAGCTTAGAGCTCCTCCTGCAGCCGGCAGTGAGGATTCCCCTAGTTCTGCTGGCAGAGAGCAATGCATAGCTTTAACTTCCATCGGGAGTAAAATTAGTTGATTGGCCCTAATGAAGCCAAGGGAATCATGGCATCATACACAAATGCCCTGCACGACAGACTGCCAACATAAACTAGAAGTTCAGGTTTTATTTATAGACTGTTAGAGTGCATCAGCTGATACAGCCCATAGACTTACTCTGCCACAATTCCAACATATGCCCCCATTTTATATTTCACTCCTGTTGTGGTTTAACCCCAGCAGGTGGCTCAGTCCCCCACAGTCAGTCAGTCACTCAATCACTCACTCACTCTCCCCCAGCGAAATGGGGAGAAGAACTGGAAGGGTGGAAGTGGCAGAACTTCTGGGCTGAGATAAGGACAGATGAGACAAGGTGAGAAGGGGGGAAATAAAAAAACCAACAAACTCAAAGAAAAACAAGTGATGAAAAAGTAATTTCTCATCAACAGATAACTGTTGCCTGTCCAGTTCCTGAAAAATGGATGTGGATGTAGTGTCAACATGTGGATGCAGTGTCAACAACTAACTTGTAGGTTACTAAAAAGGAAATGCATCTTTCTTTTCATATCTTAAGTACAAACAACTTTTTATGCATTTTAAATGTTAATCCTTGTTCCCACTGCCCAAAACAATAATAATTCTGTATCTTTGGCTTACAGTACGGTGTCGTTCAAAGAACTAATAGTGTTGCTGTTACATTATCTGTGTTGGGTATAACAGCTCTAGACTAAATTTTAAAATGTACTTTTTACCTTGAGAGTCCTGCCCTTCACTCACTTCCACCAAATCAACACAGTTCATTACATTTATTTGTAGTGCACCTCCCTGGAATAAAATACAAAAGTTGAAAAATTACAAGTCATCACCTTTCTCTGGCATTTTCTAAGAACTGCAACATCCATCTTAGAAAGGGAACACTTTTGCGTAACTGCACAGTGACTATGTGATATGTGTTTAATTCCATTGCAAAATCAAGGCTAGTGAATGTCTAATATTAATGCTCACCATCCTCATCAGCCAATTTTGTCCTATTGAGTATTTCTCAGAAAAAGCACCTGTGTTCTGAAAACACCAGTGAAAAGAGATCACCAGTCATGGCAATACAGCAAAACCCTGATCTAGTCCCTCATGCCACTAGTGCAGGTCCATGGGGGAAATAAATCGAGGAGGTCTAGAATAACCAGCAACAGATGTGCTCCATGGGGCTTTTTGCTCCTTCTCCCATGCCTGGGCAGAGCTTTCCAACCAGGGAAAACTTCTCAACTCTAGAGGTAAGTGATTAATTAAAATCTTTGGTGAAATTTACAGCAAGCCACATCTGTGATCAAATGTGTCCTCCTGGCTCATATTTACCACGGCTCAGGGCAACCTTACCCTTACCGCAGAAGGAATAAGTCACACTTCAAGCCCCTGTGGCCCATACCTGCTCAGAGGTGTTCGAGCTCTGCACATCTTCATAAGGAGGAGGTGGTTTCAGACGGAAGAACACTTCAGCACCATTGATTCACGTTGCATAAGCATGGGGCAATGAAAGCCCAAGTGTCCTGCAACAAACAGCACAGAGCAAATCTGTCAGTATGGCTTTCCAGCTGCATAAAAATGTCATCTGCTATCAAACTCCATTGGCTTTCCTGTACCAGCTCAGATTTTGGGATCTCAGCCACAGCTAATGGACTCACCAAGAGCTGTGAGACATTTTCTCAGAGGATGGCAGGAAGTTGCTCCTTAGGAGGTGCCTCTCTAATGTGTTCCCCAGAGCTTCAAACATCTTTGGGCCGTACTGCACCTAGGAACACATTTCGGTTTTACTCTAGAGATTCAGTTTTGTTTCAAAATATTCAAATACAGGTTGTCCACTCAAAATGTGACAGCCTAGCTCTGAGTTGTGTGAACTACTGAATTCTTAATTATAACAGAAATTCAAGATACTTCTGGTCATAGGTTTGGAAAGAGATGTTGGAATTTCTTCCCCAGTGTTGCCCCCCTCCTACCCCCCTCCCCATCTCTTTCTTCCGGGATGGGGGAGTCCGGAGGGGGAGACGGAGCGGAGCGACACGCGCTGGGCAGTGCGGGAGCCAGGAGGGGTGGGGGGGAGGTTCCCTCTGAAGAGTGGGCCAGGGCCACGCCTTGGAAACCCTTTGTCGGGAGGATTTGGGTTTTTCCACCGATGGACAGAGGGGGAGCTGCCTTCGGTTTTTTTCGGCTGCCTCCTCTTTTTTTTTTTTTTTTTCTGAGAGGAAGGTTTTGGGTTTTTTTCCCTAACAGATACGGCGTGGAGAGCAACTGAGAGAGAGACCGACCCATCTCGGAGCGAGGTAGTCTGCCCTTCGGGGCGTGAGACTGAGTTATCAGAGCTGCCTGACCTGTGACTATGCCTGTGAGAAGGGGGACCCACTGCTGGTCGCTCACGTGTCTGCGAGCAGCTGCTGAGCTGCTGAGGACAATTTGCCCTCGGCCCCCTGGTTGCCGCCGGGTTTCTCCCCCCACCTGGGGAATTGGGACTTTGTTTTGTTTCTTTTGAAAGTTTTGGTTGCACCATTTGTTGTTTATTCGGGTTTGTTAATAAAATAAATGGGTTTTTTTTTGTTTCCTTTTCCACACTTTGCGCTTGAAGCCTCCTAATTTCAAAGTTATAACCTTGTTAAAACTTAGACACTTCTGATCTTGTGTTTTATGTTCAGCTGCACATAAAAAGCCAAATTCAAACTAAAGGCTGGTTTTTTTGATAACGCTTGATTAAGAATATGACAGTTAATCAATTCACAACAGGCTTGTATGAGGCAAATGTACCTCATAGCTAACCTTACTCTTCAGTTTTCAAAGAGCTCTCTGAAAGCTTAAACGCAGCAGAAATCCCAAAGACCTTTTGCTGCATGATCTTTCTCTTAGGAGGCATCTCTGAGAGGAAGAAAGCAGAACAGTGCCTGGAGAAAGCTTTTTTTTTTGGCAAATGCCAATTTTGATAACACATATTTACATTACCCCATTAACACTGAAAAAGTGTGGTGGTTGATAGCAGAGTCACCAAGGAGACCTTTCCCACACAATCTTCAGAGAAGTCTGTAGCCCAAAACATCTCAATTCTTCTCTGCTTATTTTTCACATTTTGACATGCTGATACAGTACTGAGCAGTAACCTCAAGCAACACACAGAAATCAATGTTTTGCTCTCTGGACCCAGATCAGGCTTACAGCCATCAGAAACGGATGCAACTTTCTACAAAGCAATGCAAGACACAAAAGCAAGTCCTTTGTCCCAGAATTTAGGGATTCTCTGGACACTGGCTGAAGGGAACAAAGATGGCTGTGAAAATTATTTTCTTGCAAGCTAAGAGGAATGATGAAAACGCCCTCGGAAGACTGCTTGGGCAGAAAGGAAAAGAATAAAACTTCCAAAACGAGAACCTGAGAGTCCTTTCATGAAAGACTCCTGTCACGGCAATGGAGGTAACGCATGGAGAAATCTGAGGAAAAGAAAGTAGCTATTTTGATTGCTGGTCACTGATTTTTAATGCTAAAAATAGGGAAAATACAACATGTTAAACAATTTTTAATTTCAGTCTATTTCATCTGCTCTGTAAAGCTTCAGAATAATTTTGAAGTACAATGGAAACTGATGCTCCCTTGGCATTAGTTCACTTTTTTCCAGTATGTTCATGCTGAACTTAAATTCAATGTAAGCCACAAAATTATATACATTTTGCATCTTAGTTTTGTTTTTAACCATGCCTGATCTGACCTACACATCTTAGTCCCACCTTGAAAATTAATGTTCTGTCCAACAATTATATTATGTTAAAACTTACTACAGAACATGCAAACAGGGCAACATTCCCTTGAGTCCCTTATTTATAAATATCATTTCTAGGATGTACCCAAACGATACTTTAAATTGGACTGAGGTAGATTTCTAGGCTTCAGGCGACTATCTGGTTAGCCCACATGGATCACCTCTTCCCTTAAATTCATGTCTTATAACATTTTCATAGAATCACAGAATATCCTGAGTTGGAAGGGACCCATAAGGATCATAAAAATCCAACTCCTGGTCAACTTTGTTGTTCATCTGGAAACTCAGCTGTAACTGTTTCTGTTGTGCCAACACTGAAAAATAAAGCAATTGCTATTTTTTTTATTTGTGAAATAACTAGATCAGAGGTAGGAGTTGACCAGACATTTGTAATGCGAATTTTTTTTGTCTACCATTAAATAAGTGTAAAAGTTCTCCCACAATCAAGTGAGCAAACCAATTAGCTTTGATAGCAGAGCCTCTGCCTTTGCAATTTAAAGAGTGGAAGAGAATGGCCATCCATTCCAAACACATCCAAGGACAGAAATTAGGCCTGTCTGTTGCTTTAAACTCTGCACTGCTGCCTAACTACCCTGAACACCCTGAAACCAGTAGCCTGACTTCAGAAAGATGTCACCACCACTTAAATGTTCTTATCAACAAGTTTTAACACAGTCATAGGCAAAGTAGCTACTCAAATTAGACCACACAAGCCTCAAGTATTGTTCATCGGCACCTATTGTGCTAAAAAAAAAAAAATTAAAAAAAAAAAAAAAAAGAGAGACTGCTGCTGGGAAGGAGATAATCATGTAGAATGCTAGAATGATCTGCCAGATGAAGAATGACAGCTTCATTTTAATGCAGGGGAACTCTGAAAAGCATGTTTCAACAAATATTTATTCTTCCAATGAAATCACATAACATTCTGCTCTCATAAGCAGCTTGAAACAAGACTTATATAGGAGGTTTTTAGTAATGTTTGCTCTTTGGTGTTTCAGAGGATTCGTTCTTTCTAAAACCTAGTGCTGTGCCATGATACCATTTTCTAGGAAATCCTAGGATCAGTGTTACCTCTGCCAGGACCACATAGTCTTGAAAGTCATGCACACTATTCCTGATGAAACAGTGAAATAAATTAAACAGTCCTGCACACTGCAAAAAGTTGGGACTTTAAGCAAGAGTAGAGCGACAGTCTGCTTGAGCATCATATTTTATATATCATATTGTATGTTCAGAACAGAATAAGGTAGCCCCACCTGAGTCATAAATTAATAAAAAAAGCCAAGCTGCAAATTACTTTGAAGAGCACACCTGCAGAATAGTGATTAGTTGGCCTGGCAGTGCAATCAAAACATACCCTTCAGTCAGCCCTAACTACCAGCAGGAGAAGGGGAATCACTGGCAGAAAGGTCCCTGAGACGACACAATTCAGGGTCTCTCACACAACTCTTGCCAAGTGATTGTGTCTGGCTTCCCCTCACTGCCCCGACCTGCTCTTGACAGTATCATGTAAGTTTTCAGCTGTGTCAAACTGTAGGATTTCTCTTACCCAGAAACAGTTCCTACAGAATCTAAAGTAAAAACCACTACATTTTACCCCTTAGCCACTGTATTTATGCTGTCTCCAAAATCAACAAGTTTTTTTTCTTCTTTTTTATTTCCCCTAAAGTCACAAACTTTTTCAGTCAATAACAGAGAAAAAAGTCTTAAATAAAAGAGTAGGCAGTGTGTTCAAAGACAATAAAAAACAGGAAGAGAGTGTACCATTTTACCTGTGACTTGTTTGGGGAGGACCAGAATTACAAGCTGCAAAATAGGAGGGAGGCGGCACCAGTGGGACAAAACCATCAGGATCCAAACTGTCATCTTGGTCTTCAATCTGAAGTTCACCCTAGTCAAACAAAACTTCTGTTAAAACCCGTCTGAGCTACAGAAACTGCTGAATTGGGTAACCTAGTAATACTGTTAGCACCGCTGTTTACAGCCTGGTGCTCACTTACTAGGCAGGATCTTCTTGATTCAAATATCTGCCAGAAACGCAGGGCAACTGCTGTCAAGCAAACTGTAGTGGTGAGAGCATTCAGGGCACAAAGACCTAAGAAAACTTTCTGAAGAACATGAAGATGTGTGAAATTAAAGAAATTAAATCAAGGTATTTGTAGATGTTAAAATAATAATAATAATAATAATAATAATAATAAACTAAATTAAAAAAAAAAAAAAAAAACCAACCCAGAAGACATAGGGTTGACTGTAGCAATTACTTCTAAGAAATATATGTGATGAAGTCTTTAGCACAATCTCCAAGACTGGAGTAATGTGCAAAAAGTTGCTTTGTCCTATTGATTGTCCTGACAGAGATTCAGAAGGATTTAATACAGTTCAAATGTGATTTATAGTCCATTGATTCATCAAAGAATTATAACCTTTCTCTTAACTTCTGGGGGAAATCCAGATTCAAGACAATCACCATTAAAGAAATGTTAAAGCTCTTTTTATATTTGAAGATTATGCTGATCAGGAGTTTTAATTCAGCAGTTTGTAAGGCAAGAAAGGTTGAGAAGTTAAAAAGACTGGTTAGGGCATCAAATCATTAGCTAAAATTTACATTCATATTTGCCCATACAGTCTTGTCTGGATTCCATTGTAGTTTTGGTTGAATAAAACACTTGGTTGCATAAAACTGCTTATTGGATCAGCAGTGCACTGATCAAAACCCAGAGATAACAAAAAAGCCAACAGAACCATGAAGAGCTTCTGACTGGTGTGGAAGACTAGAAAAATAACAGAATTTTTCACAGTTAACACAGCAGCTACTTCAGCACTGCACTATTGCACAAGCACGGACATTATAAAAGCAGTCATATGAACCAGTGTGTGCAAGGTACCTTGAGAAGAAGGTGAGCAGAACTGCATGACTTCACATAGTATGCCTTCAGTACAGTCTCTACTTCTGTGCATTTAGTGAGATTAATTTCTTCACAGCAGAAACAAGTCTTGTTTTCCTTATCCATCTTAAAGAAATAAAACTCCAGTTTTTAATTTTAACTGCTTTATGCAACAGTTTTACCTGTATAATATAGAACCTATATTTTAAACTAAACCTGTGACCACAAAGAAGACTGGAAACACAAGATTATAGAATTGAATTTGAACAGTTTGGTATGCCAATTATTCATGCATTATAAGTACTTCTAATCTGAAAAACAGCATTATGGGTAAGCTTAAGACATTTAAATACAACTTAATTGTAATCAAAGCTGCACTGATCACTAAGCAATTTTATTACCTATGCTCCTTCAAATGCATAGTAGCCTAGAAATTATTTCTTTCACTGATGTGTAAACCACTCTATGAAGTTGTCTCAGTTTGAAGAGACTGGAATGTTTGCTAAAGAGGATGAGTTATGAGACAAAACAAACTCCTCTCTCTCAGCAATTGTAAATTCAAAATTAGGGAGCTTTAATTGAGGAAGTGTGGTGATATGTTTTGAAGCTGGCTCCCTGCCAAGTCTCCAAAACCTTACCACCAGAAGCCCCCCCCCCCCCCCCCCCCCAAACGTCAGGGAGAAGAGGGAGAAAAAAACCCTAAGAAAACCCGAAACGAGACAGAGACAACCAAAGTGAGATATATAAATATATTTACACTTATATACAATTAAAATATACAATTTCACAAGGGAAAAGGGAAGGGGGAAGGGAAAGGGAACAAAAACTAAAATAAAATATATATATATCCCAATTAGTGACCCAATATCTAACAACTAAAAGAGTTAGCAAAGAAATATCTCACTACTCTCCTGGGACAACCAAGAGTCGCTCTGGACCGATCACCGGCAACCTCTGCCTCCCAAGGTCGGCAAGGCCTCACCAGGCCTCGCTCCCCAACACGGCAGAACCGACAGCAGGGAACCTGCACCTCCAAGCCGCCGGAACGAAAGAGAGCGAAGGCCTCTCCTCCTTTCTTCTTATAGTCTGGCTTACGTAAAAATCGTAGGGAATACTGGGTAAATCTGGACCCTTCCTTGGTTACAAACTGGTCACCAAGGAAGGCCTAGCCCAAACCACCACAGTGGAAAAACAGAAGAAATAACAACCCTTTATTAAAAGATATATGTGTGTTGGCAAGAACAGTAACAGAACACAAAAAAACCTAGACAATAGTCCTGTACCCAAAAAGTCCCCTTCAAACAAAAGAAAAAGTCGGAATACTTCTCTGTCCTTCAGCGCAGTTCCAATCCCGGCCGGCAGGGGGCGCTGTTGGATCGCTGGAGGTGCAGAGCCTGCAGTGCTCGGTGTTGCCCTGCAGGGGGCGCTGTCGGGCTCCGGTGGTCACCACACAGGGAGGGGGGTCTGGGGGGTGTCTCGGGTCGCGGGAGGAGCCGAAAAGAGAATGGGGACCCTTCCCCCAGTGGAAGGAGGGGGAAAGGAAAACAGTCCACCCTCACGAAACTCACTGTTGTCCTCAGATGACAGTGTCCCAAGGCTCCTCCTTTCTTCTCCCAGTGAGCACAAAAACTCTCTGATGAGAACGCAGCAGGTCCGGGCTGGAGACAAAGACAGCCTGCCCGCAAGTCGAGGCCAGCAGTCAGGGCTGACCAGGGCGGGAAGCCAGAAAGACTGGCCTCCAGGCCTTCTCTCCAAAAGCACGCACAGAAGACCCCTGTCTCCGTCCCAGAGCGAGAGCTCAGCGAAAACTGACTTCTCCCTTCCGAGGAGTGCCAGCAATCCCCCAAAACTCCTCCCTACCTTCCCCCAGCCTCCGATGGGCCATTCATTAGGAATGCAGTTCGGCTGGCTAGACCTTCTGTAATGCTAATCGCCTCCCTTTCCATTCAAACTCCATCTTTCCTACAGTGGGGGCAGGGGGAAGAAAAATTCCCCCCTCCTGGATTTCTAACCTATAACAGAAATGTACACATTTTCTTTGATTCATGAGTGTATCTTGCATTTCTAAGGATGGAATGAAACACACAACTATAACTGCAACCTGGTCAAATCATTAATAGTCACATCCATACACTAGTTGTTGTTTGTAACTTTCAAATTAATATTGTCATCTTAGTTTTCAAAGTAGAAACTTGATGTTTTCATACCTAGAGATAATTGGGTTTTTAGCTGTCAAACTTGATAGTCATGTCAACACTCTTCCACCTATAGAAGCCACTTTACAGAATAATTAATGACTACAAGAATGCCTTTTGGCTGTACTCTATACTTCCAGCCACAGATGGCTCAGAAATTCCTGAAACATTAAATCATCTCATCTGGTATAACATTATCAATTCTCAGTGCTGCTTTAGTACAGTGATAGTGGGTGAATCTAGATTACGAACTGCTTCTGGTCTTGGACTCTCACTGAAATACATTGGCATGTCAAGAAATCAACAATGGCCTTCTTGAAGCAATAAGGGAATGGAAATAGATATTTAAAGATCTTTCGATTAATTCTTAAAGCTCTTCAAGCTTTTACACACGATCATCTTCATTACCAAGTGATCCCACATTGTATCCTTCAATTTCAATTATTTCACAGTTTTTATTCATAAATAGTTATTTTTGTACTTCTTATGACAGCAATTTCAGAAAAATCTGCCCTGTCTTGCAGATTGCTTCTTCATCACATAGAAGTGTTCTGAAAAGCTAGTATGATTTGGTTTATATTATTTTTTCCTCACAGTTCCTGCTGTAAGGTATCAACACAAATGGTCCTCACTAGGTGAGGCAAAACAGGAAAAATAATCCCACCCACAGATTATAATGACTAAGATTTTTTTAGATAGCTCACCACTACCCACTCAGGCTGTTTTCTATGCTTTATATTTGTCACATTACTAAAAAAATCCTTTATGCTTGAATCTTCTTAAATTACTTGCAGCTCTACATTAGCACATTTTGTGATTTCAGCACAACAAGCTAATGTACCATAATGAGAAGAAATAGGTGTAAATCAGTATGTGTGCTCACCAAGTTGCATCTGGGTACTCTGGACAAAAACTCAATGTCTTGACATCCTAATATAAGTCCAGCCAAGCTCAGCAGAACACAGGTGATAGACAGCAGAATAAGCAGTTTATTCTGGAACAGCAAAACAAAGTTAACTGCAGTGGGAACAGGAACCCAACTCAAGGAACCTATGACAGTGCAAATCCCACTCACAAACTGAAGCTGGGAAAAACACTGCTTCTTTTATGAAACTTCCCATGACTTCAGCGCCCCAAGGTGTCTATTCCCAACACCTTTGTCTTTTCTCTCTCTCCTTATTCTGCACTAGTTATGCAGAAGTAAAATACACGCTACTATTGAAAATGTCAGCAGTAACAGCATAGGCAACTGCAGTTTTTTCTGGAGTGCAAAGTATGATTTGCAAGCCCTCTGACTTCCACTGTGTGGTCATACTCTTCCACCATGTTAAGGTCTCAACACATTCAGACCAGTAAAGAAACCTGAAGAGGAGGAAACACATTAAGGCAATATTCACTCTGTACTGAATTTCCAGAATTATTTTGCAGCAAAAATAAATGAAAAATATTTGCCCCAGTATAGTGAGGATGGAGACACTTAAGAGATTTTAGTAATATGATTTCATTTCCTCCTGGATACTAAAACCAGAACATTCATAATTCAGATAATACCTTCAGATTTATAGACCATCTCAAAAATGAGCAATGGCAAGCGTAATAGAGTAGCTGATAAAATGATAGAGTAGCGGATAAAATGATGTCTCGCTTTCACCTATGCCCTTACAATCTGCACTTACATGACTTGGGATATGGATTTTGAACACATATAAGAACTTTTCATGTCCCAGTTCATACAACAAGATTTTTCTGTACTTTGGGAGAAAGTGCTATGGGTAAGACTACTACTTTAGAGACAAATAAAAATTAGGTTCCTCCTTTAAGCATTCAACCTTACAAAGCAAGTTTCAGATCCTTATTTTCCTAAAGAATCCTTGTTAATAACAACCTGATCATTCAGATTTCTTTGTAACAAAATGGTCCAAATTCAAAAAACAGGACCAAAAAAAAAAAAGAGGAAGAGAAGGAAATCATGAGGGACATGGGTTCAGTTCTTCTCCAGGCAGCTTTAGAGTAGATCCAGCAACAAGGACTTCCTAAATATGCACGAAGAACACAATGGCTTTCCCAGTTAATTTAAGTGATATAACATGGCTAGCTACCTGGAATCTGAAAAAAAAAATAAATCAGAGTTGATGCACAAATATGTTCCCATTTTCTGAGGTTCAGGGAAATATAATCACCCATGAGTGGATCAGAGCCAAAGAGCATTACTGTGAAAGCTCATTCCTTAAATTATAATATCTCATTACTAGTAGGCTTTACAGAAGTTTGACATTATCCCATAAGGTAGGTTTTAACCCCAAAACCCCCAATAATTGAAGTAGCTATTAGTACTCCTCTGAAGAGGACTGGGACTATTTTATGTTTGACATACTAAGAACAAAATAAATATTAAGAGGAAGAGTATTTTCCCCTAGTTTTCTACTAATCATGAAAACACAAATAAGAGGATTTTAGTTCTAGTAGGCATTCTGAGTGGCATTTGTTTTTCTGTACAAACACAGAATCTAATGATTTTTTAAAAATTAACTCCTTGCATACCACTTAAATGAATTGATACCATTTCTTATGCTTTTATCTAGATTATCTCAGTTATCCTTTTGATAAAAACTACTTTGAGAAAATCGTTTGACACAGGCATTTCATATAAAGAAGTACATTCAACACAGGGCATTGACAACTAGGAATTAGCCATTTTTTAAAGTGAAATAGAATCTGTTTCAACATAAAACATCTTTTAGTAAAAATCTCATTACATGTTATTAAGAAAAAGAAGAGGTATATTTGTCTTCTTTCAAATGATGAGGAAATGGAGCAAAGAAGTTTTGTGGCCAAAGTAAAGAAAGATTCAGGAAAAAAAATAAGCAAATTCACATTTAAGGTTTCTTCTTTGGTACAGAAGCTGCAATAGAAACAATTCCATGTACAGCTATATAAAAAGTTACAATCAAGACTCCTAATTCAAAATTTTGAATAAAAATTATGGAGATTTTTCTAAAGAAACCTGGTAAAAATCAAAGAACAACAAGGAAGAGAAAGAACATTATTACAGATACGCAAAACAAGGATGACAATTTCTGCATTTATGTTCTAGTAAATCCTATCACACATAAGTGTAATCTTGATCTGTTTTTTATTACATGTATAGTCTATTTTTGATGCATAATCCAATATTCAGATAATCCTCATAAAGAAGCAGAAGATAAGAAAATTCCTCAACATACAACCTAAAACACTACCATGATCTGAACCATAACCGCAATATTCATTACTACATATCTGACATTGGACAAGACAATACATGGTACTTGAATATCAAGAGAAAAAATCCTTTTTCTTTCTGCTCCATCGCTGTTCAGCTTTTCACTGAATCACCGAGATTGGAAGGGACCTCTTGAGACTGTCTAGTGCAATCTCCTGCTCAAGCAGGTTCATGGTGTCCCTGCTCGTGACAGGGGCCTTGGAATCAATGGTCTACAGTAGGCTGCCAAAGACAACGTCCAGTGGGTTTTGACTGTCTGAACAGACAGATACTTCACAACCTCTCTGGGTAACCTACACCAGTTTTTGACCACCATAATAGTAAAAAAGTAATCTTTTTTGTTTCAATGGAATTCCCTGTTTTTTTCAGTTCTGCCCATAGCCTCTTGTCCTGTCAGTGAGCACCGGTGAGAAAGGTCTAGCTCTCTATTCTTCACAGATGCAGAAGATCCCCCCAGGAGCCATCTCTTTTCCCGGTTGAACAGCCCCAGCTCTCACACCTCTCCAGGTATGGGAAGATCCTGCTGGCAAATCTCTGCCTAATCCAGCCCAGGACACAGTTAGCTTTCTTTGCCACAAGAGCACTTCGCTGTCTCAAGGACAGCTTGTTGTCCACCAGCATCCCCAGGTTTTTCTCTGCAGAGCTGCTTTCCAGCAAGGTGTTCCCCAGGGTGTACTGGGGTCACTTCCCTGCACAGGCAGGACTTTGCATTCCCCCTTGGTGAACTTCAGGAGATTTCTCTCAGCCCATTTCTCCAGCCTGTCCAGGTCCTTCCAAATGGCAACTTTTAGCATATCAGCCATTCCTCACAGTTTTGCATCACCTGTGAACTTGCTGAGAGTGCACTCCGTCCCACTGTAGAGACCACTCACTTAAGTAGTACTGGCCCCAGTTTCCACCCCTTGGGCTCAACTCTGCTGACTGTCCTCTGGCTGGCTTGGCTTTGTGCCACTGATCACAACTCTGGGCCCAGTCACTTTGTTTTCAATCCACTTCACTGTTCAATCTAACATGTATTCTGTTAGGTTATTTTATCAGTTATATTCTCCTGCAGGTGCAAGTTTAAACTTCTTCTCCATCACTACTCACCTATAAATAGAAACAGGTATTCCACTTTATCCCAGTGACAGAAGATCCCACCCAGAGGAGAGAAATACTTCTCAACTTAGAAAAAACAGACAAAGGCAAATATTGTATTTTAAAAGTCACAACAGAGGTAACTGGTCTTAATTGCAGATAAAAATGGAAACTACTCAAATTGAGGCTTTACTTTGGCTCACAGCCTTCATCTTCTGAGCATTAGATACACAAGGACTGTGAACAGCTGCAGAAAGTTGTGAGGAACATTTATATGAAGTAAAATATATGAAAGCAAAGTGTATTCTAATGTTAGACACAGTATTCGCTATTGTCTTGAATGGATTATCTCTTCCAGCTAAAAATGTCATCATGCACTTTGAGGATTCCAAGGAAGCATAAATTTGCATAATAAAGCCCTGACACTATTTTTCATTCTGCATGGGGAGCTGCTTGTTGTCCTGCTGCTGCCGCCATTGAAGGGAATACCTAACGCCAGAGAGGAATTGCTTTCACTTTAATATGTGCACACAGGACTGATGCCTAACCAGACACTGCAATGAAAGAAAAACTTTCATTCCACAATCACCAACTCTTATATCCATTTACAGCCTATATATATACTTTATAAACATCCTGTAGGAAAAGGCAATTTAATTTATTAATTGTACATATGCACAGCAATGATAGCAATAATTAAAAATTTTGAGACTTTACTAAAGTTCTGTCAGTTGCGAGAGCATGGAGACTCATAACACAACTGTCACCAAAAAAAACAAACCACACAAGTAAGAGTCAAATTAATTCATTTAATAAAAAAATCACAGATTTCAAATAAAGCACTAAAACACCCTATGTATACATACGAGAGAAAAGCTTTTGCAGCATAAAATGGCTAAAAGCCTCTAATGGCTTTTCATAGTCTCAAACTTAAAAGCATTATTCTTTTTATTTTCTTGTACTGACTGTAAAACCTTTGTATAATTACCACTTAGTGACCTAATGCTGGAGTTCTGAACATAAGCAAAGATGTTAACATTGAGCTATTTTACTTGAAAAATCAAGAAAAAAAAAGTACTACTACAGTAACTCTCACCATAGTACAATGACTTTGCTTATCATAAAGCACATGAATAGGGAGAGATTGTTTTTCAGGGGTAGGGGCATGATACACAGCTTCTGTTTACAGTGCCTTATACTGTTACTAGCAGGGCTAAAATTTAAAAACATCATCAGAACTAAGCATCTTGGTCTAAACATTAAATTTTGTTAAATTTATGCAAATCAGTCAAAGTGCAGATATCATAGCAGTAGTCAGTCCTAAAAAAAATCTTTATTTTAAGGCTGCTGGGATGTATTTTGTTTCTGATAAAAGTTTTCAATTACATACAAGGTTTACTACAAAAAAATTCTTCAGAAATTTTCAAGGTTATAAATAAATGCTTGAATTTCATAAACTTTTCTGTTTTCAAAGGGAGAGTTGTAAATTTTTGTCATAAACCAAAAATACTAACACTTTTGAACTATAAACAAATCTTTCTAATAAAAATTTCAAATCCTTGTTACAATACTGTAAAACACGAGAATAATCCAGATTGAACGACACATGCTGAACACAAGACTTTGGCTTTTCTGTCAAACCCCACAAAGCTTTA